GTTTTGCCCTAGGTTTGAGACGATGAATGAATCGGTAGACGCGCGCATCGCCGGATGTAAATTGACGACTTCCGCTCGAATGATTTTTCTCTTTATTGAGATGATGAGCCATATAATAAACAACTTAATAACCTCGACCGTTCGGTCGTTACGGGAAAATCTCAAACCTCGGCCTACTGTATTGACCTCGCTATCGCTCGGTCAATACGGCAAAGCCTCAGTTTGAGATTTTCCCGTAACGACCTCACTCTCGGTTATTAAGTATTTACTACTGACTGATCTATCCAAGAAAAGTATATATTTTTGTTTCAGAAACTTCACGAAAGTAAAGAAAGGTTGGCTCAAATCAATCATCATACACTGTAAAATTCACGAGTTTGCTCATAGAGAACTGACTTTGATCTTTGAAAGGTGGTCACTGGCAAGAGGGTTTTATACAGCGCTCGTCGTTTTGTACCTCAGAGTTAAAACCGACTAGTAATAGTAGCTTTGCACTTGAGAAGTGCTTTGCAATTGCCAAAAAGATAGCAATTACCATCCAATCGGAAGATATTCCTTTTCAAAAGCTTACAACTCACACGAACTGGCCTCTTATTAAGATTACCCCAAGCAAAGAATAACTCAAGATTTGTGTTTCATTATTTTAAACTAAACTGGTGAAAAGAAATTTGCTGCAGCTTAAGTTTATGAATACTGCTGACTATTCAAATATTGAAAAGGAAAGTTCCTGAGCAATATTATATTATCATGCAGAGCAGGTTTGCTTTTTAACTTGTTTGTTTGTTTGTTTGTTGTTGTTGTTTGACTTTGGCACCTTTGGGAGTCAAACATTTCAGGAAGAACTGTTAGCTACTATCACTAGGTAAAAACTCAAGACCGTTTATCAGCTACAAATGCAAAATAATATTCCCGGAATTTACACAATTTACAAATAATTAAATATTAACGACTGCGGATTGAATGATGTCTAGCCGGAAAAATTCCATGTTTTAAATAGAATTTTTGCGAAATATTCAAACGAAACCGAACAGGCTTGTTCTTAATTTAATTCCGCTGTTTGAAACCTGACTCCCATCATCTGTCGAGAAATGTTCTGGAAAATAAGCGATAGAGAGTGCTAGATGTCAAACTCACCTTCTTTAAATTACGGGCCGATATGTGAAGTTTTTAACTTGTCGTCAGGCAGTCAACCATTTTTTTGTGCTTTCATGTGCGAGGTGTCACGTCTCTGGACTAATCTTCATTTGACGAATTTTCTAGATCTGTAAACATTTAAGTTCCTTTTAGCACGTCTTCTACATTTTTCCTTTTATTGGTTAATTTACATTTTTTTTTATGAGGCCAAATAAAATAATTAGGTCGTTCATTTTCTGTCAATACTCCCTTTAACGAATTTGCAATGGTTGTGGTAATGATTTAATGACAAGCACTTTTCGAAAGATATATCAATCGTTTGCTCGTTAACTTAGTTTCTGATTCGCAAAATCAACGAATTGATGAGCAATCAGTATGCGAGATAAAGATGATAATGTTTTCGCGTCATTGAGAAATGGAAATTTCGCCTTTCTCGCCGCGTTGAGTTTATATGTTTGTATTACCAGTCTTTTCACGACCGTTTCGTGAAAAATAACGTGTTAATGAGACATTATGACAAATTTTCAGTAGGCATACTGCGCATGCTTCGTCGGTTCCTAAGCTTTAGAACGTCAGTGTAAAATAGTCGGTGTTTGTATGAATGCCTGTCGGAGACACGCCACGCGAGAAATGTCTCAAACGCGCGCGCGACTAGTCTCGCGAGGAGATTGTCAGCAAAGCAGGTGCATGTTAAGTTCTGATACAAAGACAGCAAAGACGGGAAGTCAACCCTGTTGTTCTTTAGAAATCGATATGAAACATCAAACACTGTGCAGATGGTCTAGCTGTGGTTTTCCGCAAACAAAATAAATTTTAATGTCGTGTAGAAGATGTTTTCGTTGTCACGCCCCTCGACCGCCGTCGAAGATTTAGGAACACTTAAACTCGTTAACTTGTCGTCTTCGTTTCCACACCGCAATCCAAGCGGTAAATGTGTGTTAAATGCTGGCTGCACTGACAATTGAAGACTCGACAGACAGACAGTTTCCTTCTTCAAACATTTGCTCGGGTTAAATTCGCAACAATCATTTTATCAGCGCTTTATTTAGCCGTGTGTCGCTGACGTACAGGCTGAGGAAGCTCGATCACTTTAATTTTCAATTATTTAATGTCATTCATATGCAGTAAATTTTAATCTAATGTGTGAAAAGCTGAGTTACTGGAAGCGTACAGTTCTTTATAAAGCATGTCTCGACATTTCATGTTACATTTTATAATATTTACATAAAGTGCATTCTGGCGTATCTCGGACACAAAAACTTCGCCTTGGAAGCGAGATTCGTTCTTTTGAAGAGCCTTTTACTTGAAATGGAAACCTAGCAAACGATATCATACATAACCCCGTAAAAAATCAACGGGTTAATATACCGTATAGGCTGTCGTTTCGTTTCGTTTTACTTGTGTCAACTTCTCGTCAAATTGTTTACTTTGCGAAAAAAGTGAACCAAGAACTGAATAACGCAGCTCAATGCAGAGCATTAAATCGCCCTAGGGATTTGGTCGGCGAATTAACAATTAAAAACGTCTAGAAAAAATGGTTTGTTCTATCTCCCTGCTGCAGGCAAATAGAACAAATTTCTGTCACACTCTTTAAATAGTCTTCACGCAGTCCGTCTTGTGTTTGAAGTCACATTTTCTTTCTTTCTCTCCTTATTTCGCACGATGGGTGACCTTTCTTGAACGTGATTTTGTGCTCGCCAGCTGCGTGCAAGCAGCATTCTAAACGAAGAGGTTCAGTTACAGTTCAAATTTTTCTTCCTCGACGAGGACATGTCGTCGGCTTTTCTTGCTATCTCTTCGGCTTCTCCAGATGATGTGCACGATTTTTAGCAATAGCAGAAACGAAGTGCTACCTAGCAATGCAGCATTGAAAATCGAATTTCTCTTGTCTTTATCCCAGAACTCCATGAACGTTCCCGTGAAGCCAACAATCATGGGCGCGTAAGGCGTGACGGTGTACAGCGTAAACTCCCAAAAAACAAAATTGTCCAAACAGAACCAAAAGAGAATCGTAGAAGCGAGCCCGGCGAGCACTATAGTGCAAGCTATGTCGTCTTCTACTTCGGCTGTGTACTTAAGGACAATTGCGGTTTGTTGGAAGGCATTGAAAAGCGCCCAGGACGCATACAGGCCGATACCGTTAATTACAAGCACCTCCATTGCTATCTGGTCTCCGGTTGGAAACCTATTCATCGCGAAACGTAGGATGTTAAGTCGATAGTACACAATCGCCAGAGCCACGAACAGTGATGTAGCTATCCCTGCAACACATCCTAGAGCAATGTTGATGAGATCTTCGCCCCACATCATCACCCAAGCGAGCGTGAAGCCGAACGCTAGCAAGTTAAAGACGAAGAAGAACGGCGTCAGAACCTTAGGGCCGTGCTGTCGACACATCAAGATGAGGGCGTAGAGAAGCCAAAGAAACTGCCATACGAGGACGGCTGTCCAAGTCCAAAACGTCCATTCGGCAGGGGTTATTTCCACGGGATACTTTTCAAAGATCTGCAGAGTGCGATTGTAGATGTAGAAGTCCAAGATGCTCTCATCTGCATACTGGCCGAAGTAGAAAAACACGGCGGCTCCGGCGAAGACGAGAAACGCGGCGATCGTAAGGAAAATAACGGCACAACGATTCATGTTACACGACATGACAGTTTTAACGCTTCGATGCGCTGGTACCACGAATTTCAAATGTCCGTTTGGCGAGAGAAAAGAAACTAACGGACACGTGTAGTGATGTGTGAACACATTTCTAATACTGGGCGTCACAGCGCTGAACTCCTTAAACTTTTATTTGCTTCAACAATATCATATGCAAATTTCTAAAGGACTTCACGCGATTGTGCGAGAAAAACATTGTCACAAAAACACGGCTTCTGATTGGCTGAGGATTTGATTATGTACCAGGTGCTCCTGACAGGGCGCCAATTCTAAAAGTAGTCAATTATCAAACAGAAAATCGTAAACAAAAGCAGTTTTTAGACTGATGAGCGCAAGACAGAGGCTATTAAGTTAATTGCTTATTCGCGTTTTCAAACATATTCAGCGTGAAATGGTGGGCAGAGTTTTAATAGAAAGACTATAAGGTCCTGCTAAAACAAAGAGGAAAAATTAACAGACCAGAAACAATACAATCCAGCTGTTTAAGACTATGACGCATTTTTCAGAACTTAAACTGATTATGCAGATTGCAGTAATTGTTCCTTTTCCTTTCAAGAAATATGCTTTCCAATCACTAGATATTTTTTTGAAAAATTCAATGCATTTTACAAGCAGGTTTATTTGTTGTTATAATCTTGACAAGATGTGCGTCTTTTTTTAAAGTTCCAACAACCTCCAAAATGTCACCATTGCTTTTTGTATATTTGCTTTAATTATTTCAGGTGAATGTCGGATGCATTTTTTGTTGTTGTTTTTGTTCCAGCAATATTAGCCTCTGTCGCAGACGCTATACATCGTTAAATTTCCATCTGGGATGCTAGTTTAGCATTATTTGCCGATCATTTCGTTGATATTTCATGTAAAATGTGGTCATATAGGAAGGGAAGTAGTTAGTTTACCTGTAACTACAGTAGCGGTACCACCTGCCAATTAAGATTTGAATCTCGTGCACCAAAAAAGTTGTCGCGATCGACAGCAATGCTGCAGAAAGCCAACTCTTCGCCTAGTCTAACTAATAAGTTTTCCATTTTGAAATGGTAGGGGAGCTTTGTCGCTGATAAATTAGAATGGCATCGACAAGTTTATTCAGTTCACCAGCTTTAAAGGAGAGTTGTAGACAAGTACTGAGTGACACGGGCGATAATTCTTTCATCGGAACAATTCTTGTCAAATTAGCTTCCATATCACCCGGGCCAGTCAACTTCGTCGTAATTTTGACTTCTCATGTCTGCACGATCTTTTTCGCTGTCACTGGATTGACGTTTCTAGTAACCCACCATGAAAGCAGATGCTGACCAAAGGGGCTGCAGCTTTCTCGGAGCCGATTTGCGCCGGATAACAAGCTCTGCCATTCTCTTCCACAGAGTCTCCGATTTTTCTAAACGAAAAAATAAAGTGAATCAGTTGTACACCTTATTCCAAAATGGCAGCCAATTTATTATTCTTTTGCTTGCAAGTTAATTAGCCCTCTTTACCTCGTCAAAATGTACAAAATACAAAAGAATTTTGAAGTGAAAATGAGGCAAAAGGGCTAATGAAGATGTAAACAAAAGAATAATAAATTGGCCGCCATTTTGGAATAAGGTGTATACGATGCATTTTCTTAAAATATTCAAATTTGCCCTACGTAAATTAATATCTAATTCAGAATTAAATTAAAAGCGTGATTGGCAGATAAAAAAAATGTTTACTCACAAGAATTGCAGACCATTGCAGTCTTCAAAACTTTAAAGCTTGATTTCAAACAAAGAGTAGTTATTCACTAGCATTATTTTTTTTTTCACATACACAAGCCTCTGAGCAGAGGACAGAAGTCTCAAACCGTTTGTTTCTTTCTGTTTTAATTTGAGCGTTTTGACGCGCACATCTAAACAAATCAGGCATTTAGGAAAAAAATCCAAACGTGTTGTAAAGTGCTTCATTTGCCGGTGTTTCTTCAGAACACGTCACTGGGAACACATTGTAAAATTTGTGAGTAAAAAGCTATATGTAAAAACGGAAAGAGACCTTTTTGTGAAATCGAAACATAAACTGCTACCATTGTTTTATGATCCACAAAAAACGTCTGTACTCATTGCATGCCTATGGCTTGCTGGCTCGTTCTAATTGATCAGTGGTTACCACCCGGAAATTCCAAGGGACGGTGTGACATTCTGAGGAATATGGGAGTGAAGGTTTGAGAATGTTTTGATGTCTGTTCGTGAAAAAAACACGGTCAGTTAACAACATTACGTAGAAATGACAGTCTGGAAAGCACTTGAGACTCCACAGCTTGGAGTAGGTAGGTAAAACATGCGCGTTTAACTTGCCACGAGCGATGCGTCCTTCCGTGGTCGCGAAAGGGGCATGCGACTGAGTCGCTTCATCAGTGACGCTCCTTCGGAGTTCTTTGACCTCATTTTGTTATTTAACTTATTCAGCTATCTACAACTTCCATGGAGACGGTTCGCATAAACTCAAACTCCAGCTTGGTGAGACTGTTCAAATCTTAGAAGAGAGTTCAGGTAGGTGTTTTGGTTTCCATTACCAAAAGTGGATCGAAAGTAGGTTTGATTTATGTACACAGAAAAATTTGCACAAAGAATTCACACAGTAGCGACTCAGCGACTCGATAATTGACTATTCTTAAGTGTTGAACGGGTGTACAAAAAGACAAAATATCGGGGTTTTAATGAAAAAAGCATAAAGAGTCATCAGACTTTTTGCTTACATGTACTTCTTTCATGAGTGGTGGGGGGGGGGCGGAGAGGATGGAGGAAGTAACCTGGAACCTAGTTGTGTTTTGGGCAATGAGAATGGGAGGTATAGTAGGTATAGCAATTACAATTTATAGTTGAAAGCCATTAATTTGGTCGCCAATGAGCCACAAAAATCTGGCTGTGTTAATGGGGTGGCTTTTTTTAAAGGGGTTTTATAAATAAGAAAATGACTGACTGAGCTTTTNGAGCGAGTAAAAACCTCAGGACCTGTCGGGTTTTCAAAAGTGCTCATGCTCGAGTGGTCTCGATTTTTTATGGAAGCTGAGCAATATCAGCTAAATTAAGCAGTTGCCAGAGTTCAACTTTTACAATCTTTGTCACTTTAAAAGTTTTTAAAGACATAAATTAAAGCGAAGTTACAATGTTCAGATCGCAAACAAAGAGAGAAAAAAAACATTATCACTAGAAGAAAATAAAAATAAAAAACACTCAACGATCACAAAGGTACGCCCGAGGGAATAAATTTGTAATAATTAAATAGCTTCCCCTCGCAAGACACTGCAAGAAATGTTAACTTTATTTGTAAACTAGTTTTACTTTTGACGCTAAATACATGAATCTGCTTTTAACGTAATGGGGCGTTTTCTCTTTAAATTTAAAAAAAAGAACTTATCCTCTCAGATTCAATGAACAAGAACAAGGGCTAGGGTGAACCTGACGTAGCAGGTAGCTCAGGCCAATGTTTATGAAAACACAGCTAGAAGGTTAATCTCACAAGTACCAGTTGAATCATCGCTGTATACCAGCTTTCTAAATCGACAAACTGTTTTTTTTTTTTTCCTTTCAAACAACAAAGCAAACGAATTTCTTTAATTAGTATCTGTTTCTTGTCACATTTCTGTTTTGAACACGCAGTTTAAAAAACTAACAGTAAATTATTTACACTCACCTGTTTTGGAGGCGTGATCCGTAAAACCTTTCGCTTTCTTGACTTTAAGGCAAAGACAAACGAAGAGAAAATTTACATTAGCAATTGAAAAACAACCATTTCCTTTCTAATTCTAAAAATTTACGCCGTGGAAAGGTGCTTTCCGTCTATTAAACAAAGATGACAGCCAGTTGTTGTTATGCGGCACCAAAACACATGTACGTAACGGCGACAAACGTTAGAATCAAGTAAAGTCAGGATAAGTGAAATGAAAAATTCGCTTCCTTTAACCAAAAATCTTTCAGGCTTGGCCTTAGATGGTTTCCGCTTCTCGCTAAACAAGTAATGTCGAATAAAAAAGCGATATAGACTAAAATAATTAATCAACTCAAGAGGTTGTTAGCACAAGTGGCCACGAACTGTGTTCCACTTTCTAAGAACCAAACAAACACTAATTAAGTTAACTACAATGATATTAAAACGAGTATTCACTGCGCTATCTCGTTTGGTAAAATTCTCCCCCTTTAAGAGAGCTTGGAGCAATTCAACTAATTACGCGCCAAACGTTTTAAGGGGTGAATTTTACCAACGACTGTGATCAGTTTACGATGAGTACTTGAGTTTCCACCAGAAAGAGATTAATATAAACACAAGCAAAAGCATTTAGCACCGATACCTTGGAGCAAGCAGATGGCCAATACGAATAACCAGATGCGCTTAAAACGCGAACTTCTAGCACTGGGAACATTTCCAAATATTCCTTCCCTTATGTACATTGAAAATCAACCATTCGACAAGTCGTTACTCCCCAAATTAACATGGATGCAAGTTTTTTTATCCTCTTCGCGACTAAAGCGTTAGCAAAGATGTGTCGCCATAATAGAGATCGCTCAATCCCCGCACAAACATTCCAAATCCAACGAGATTCGCATTCCGATACAAATTGAAAATCGCTGCCAAGAAAAAAACCCTGAAAGAAAATTCGAATATAAAAAATATAGAGTTTCAAGTGACGCGCGAACCGACAACTACTGGAACCCATCTAGGAAATCCTGGTCATGGATCACCATGACATCACAAGGCGAGAATTCCGGCAGTTTCAAACAATTACGTCATGGTGGCGAAATCCTCGCGCTTGTCGGCACTGAAACGAAAAACATTCACACTCGTTTGATTTCAAAGCAACATTCAAGGCAAACAGTGAGTTGAACAAAAGGCGTTTTTTCCGTCGGTGAACGCTCCGCGAAATGCAAAGGAACTCGTCGCGTGGGTTGAACGCGAACACGGCAATCCCAGACGTGGGCGGAAGCGAAAGTTGATAAAGTCACGGTAGACGGAGAAAGGGACATTTACGACCACTGAACCGTTTGAAAAACGGATTTCCGAACAATATAACAGGTGGAATGCTCATTGAATCCGCTCGAGTGGGCTGCATACGAAACATTCCCCGATTTACCTGCAAGAAACTATACCTTGTTTTACATTTTATCGGTCTGTTCGTCAAGGATATGTAAGGCCTAAAGATCTGACGGCGAAACGCCAGAAAAATGGGGCGGGTAGTTTTATTACATACTCGTCAGGAGAGGCCTTAACGACCGCTCTCATAGAAAGAACAAGCAGTCACAATCGCTATTCATCTTGTTCTTACGCAATGTTAAACACTGTCACACCCCCGTGTATGCAAGCGCCAATCAAAACTGACAAGCGTGTGTTGAAGGTGCTGAGAGCGTCTCCGTCAATTAAGTAATGCCCTTGAAATGGATGACACAATATTATCATGACATGGTCGTAAAGCGCCTTACCATTGACACCGTTCAATTTGTACTCGGCTATAACCTCATTGACATCATAGTTTCTCCAGGACAACTCCGGGTCAAGGGTGAAGCATTCCTTAGAGATTCCCAAATATGGTCGTCGATCGGAAATAGCATAATTTAATTCTCCTTGACCTACTGTTGGCTTTAAATGCGAAGACTGAGTTCGTTAGCTTTATTTGATGCAAAGAGTAAATATTCCTACACTAGAAAAATCCTGACCAAACCGTAGAGGACCGTTTCTTCTCTATTCAATTCGAAATTCGCCCCTAATCCTTTGGCTTTCAAATTAAAACCACCTATCTTTGTGCGCTCTCGATCGACGTTTCTCAGTTGTATCGCTTTGATCGGTTAACAGTTAAATTGTGTTTAACTCATGGTAAAATGGAAATGAATTTCTCCTAGATAAAATATAGCACCGTGTACAATTTATCGAAAACGCAGTGAGATATCACACCGATAAGTACCACTTGATTACAGTAATCCGCTTAAGATTGACGAATTTTGTTTCAATATTAATAACGACAGTGGCAAAAGGAGAATAGTTAAATAAAAGAATAAGATGCACACGAGTTAAAATTCAAAGATTGTCTTGCAATGAATTGTACCACGGTTTTTAATTTGAAACACACTCGTCAGGAAATTGTGTCCGAGCTAGGCCGAGACAATGCTTCTGTCATGGGCAGACGAACCCAATGTCTGAACAGTGTTCTTCATGTAAGACGTCACGTCAAGTCGACAAATTTTAGTTGCTTTTCTTGAAAAAAAAAAAAAAATGAAGCTAATTTCAAGTCAGAAGCAACAAGCAATCAGAAAACGAAAGAAATTCGATCGTCTGAATCTAATGAGAGCGAAAATTATGAAATTCATGAAAATAAGTCCAAAATAAATTCAGCCATTGTGAAACTATTGTCAAGTACCAGTCAGATCATTGTTTGAAGCGAAACCAGCGAAACTGCTAACACATAAACAAATTTCAAGCGTCTTTAGAAAACGGGAATGTGAACAATTTTGGTTCAATCCTCCCAGCTTCCGCATCACCAGGGGACGGGTATCTGAAAAGCTAATTTTCAATTGTTTTTGGAGGATCGGACGTTATAGGGATGGAGAAGAGAGTTCACTCTGATTTATACATAAGTGAAACGGGCGTCACTCAATTAACTCAACATGTAGGATCGGGGCCAGTGTGACAAATTTCATCTTAACGGTATAATGAGCAAATTCATTACAAAGGTTGTTAACCAAAATTATGATATAGCTTTGTTGCTTAAAATTCGCCGTAATAGACATCATGGTGGTTGTGTTCATCATCTTAGACTGGATATTTGTTTTGTTGAATACACTGAGCTACCATGATTCCCTAAGGACCGTTTCGTAGAAGGAATTGGCCATTGAAGATCGACGACTTTAAAAACACTTAGCAGTTTTAGATGCATTTCCAATACTTTTATGAGACCCAAATATAAAAATTCACCAGATGAACCAATTCTGCTCACGCCCTGGGAGGTTTGGAAACACGCAGTTAATTTTGCTCCTTATCCTGTTTAGTCCTGGTTCAACTGGATCAACTCTTTCTTCTTTTGCCAAGACTTTGCATAACACCATCAAAATGGTGGTAATTTAAAAATCCTGAAATTTGTTTTCTTTTCGCAGAGGCTACTGTAGGGTCGTCATAAACAGCTAACGGCATTACGTTGAAGGCAGTTTCCGGAGCAATTTTTATTTCCAGCATCTTTTTCTTTAACATAAAAAGTATTCCTAGTAGGTAGTAATGGTAACAAGACTGAGTGGAGTCCAATTTGGTCTGTAATCACACGAGTGATAACCAAAATCGGACGAGCGCGAAGCGGGAGTTCGATTTGTTAATCACGAGTGTGATTACAGACTGAATTGGACGACACGATGTCCTGTTACCAATTAATCATAACAATTACAATTTCCCAAAAAGCAAAAGTTCATTTGAAAAAGAACGTTTAATAGTCATTTTTAAATATCATAATTAAAAATATGGAGAATAGCTTGCAAAATGGCTGTTAAGTTTCTTTCAAAACAGTCACCAGAGACTAAACCTCCACAATTTTACAAAGTCAGTCTCTTGAACTAGTTACTATAGTGATTGCAATCAATGTTGTGATTGGTGGATTTAGTGAAGAGGACTTAAAATGATTGGCTCATGTAACTGTCCGATTACACGTGTCCCATTANGGGGGGGGGGGGGGGGGGGGGGGGGGGGGGGGGGGGGGGGGGGGGGCGGAGAGGATGGAGGAAGTAACCTGGAACCTAGTTGTGTTTTGGGCAATGAGAATGGGAGGTATAGTAGGTATAGCAATTACAATTTATAGTTGAAAGCCATTAATTTGGTCGCCAATGAGCCACAAAAATCTGGCTGTGTTAATGGGGTGGCTTTTTTTAAAGGGGTTTTATAAATAAGAAAATGACTGACTGAGCTTTTGTTCAGGTCAGAATACAGTGGCTGTAAATAATGGTAATAGGACTGAGTGGAGTCCAATTTGGTCTGTAATCACATGAGTGATTAACAAAATCGGACAACCTCTAAGCGGGTGTCCAATTTGTTAATCACGAGTGTGATTACAGACTGAATTGGACGACACTATGTCCTGTTACCAATTAATCATAACAATTACAATTTCCCACAAAAGCAAAAATGCATTTGAAAAAGAGCGTGTAAAAGTTATTTTTAAATATCATAATTAAAAATATGGAGAATAGCTTGCAAAATGGCTGTTAAGTTTCTTTCAAACAAGTCACCAGAGACTAGACCTCCACAATTTTACAAAGACAGTCTCTTGAATTGGTTACGATAGTGATTGTAATCAATGTTGTGATTGGTGGATTTAGTGGTGAGAACTTAAAATTATTGGCTCATGTAACTGTCCGATTACAGGTGTCCAATTACAGCCAGATGTCCAATTACACTGTCCGATTACAGCTTTGCAGATTAATTAGAGCAAAATACAGCAGTTTATGCACCAATCACATTTGAGGAAATTGTAATTGTTATGATTATAATAATAATAATAATAATAATAATAATAATAATAATAATAAAATTATAAAATGATTATTAACTTTTTTCAGGATGGTTTCGAGGGTTTTCTTTGAGGAACAAAGCCGTCAAGGTCTGTATGAAATTACAAGAACAGACAAAGTACAGTTAAACATAAATGTTTACATGTAGACAGGACTGTAGTAATTACACATGCCTTCTACATGTAAGCAGTTAACATTGAAAATATTTTCCTGAGTAGTGAATATATCAGTGAGATTATAATTTCATTTCCTTTAAATTTCAGGGTATATTTCCAGTGTCATATATCTATATTAAGGATGCCAACAAAGAAGAGTCCTCAAGGCATGTTATTTATTAAGCAGTTCAGTAATGTAATCTGGTAGTTTGATCTGCTCAATAACCAAAATGACCATAATTAGTTTACCAACAGTAATATTGGGAATTCATTTGATACCATTGTAACTATAGTGGGGCTCCAGCCGGTGGCCCGAAGGGCTGCCAAGCGGAGCCCCATACTCATGGGAACGGGTGAATTGCTTTTCTCATGGTAAAAGTGCTAGTGGTATTGCTTCTGGGCACACATGCATGATGACGATGGCGACAATGACATTGCACAACATGGTGGCCATATTCCAGACATGCAGCCTTGGTTTATAGCATACATCTTTGACATAGGACATCCATGTTATGCTCAATTGACACCTGTCAAAACGAGGTATCTGCTGACCAATATTACATGACTATATTGTTGGCTCAAGTTTAGAGTGCATCAAGGTCACATGTTTTTTCAAAGTTGACCTCTGACCAAGTTCTGGATTTTTAATTGGATCACAGGCTCAAGCCAGGTTAACTTGTTGTAATCAGGGTTAGGTTGTTCAGAAGCGGGTTAATGCTAACCAAAGTATAAACTTTTCAGTAGGTCAAACAATATAAACAGAAAACCTCTCCAAAAAGTTAAAAAAACTTAAATCAAAAATACTTGCTTATCCTGGGTTAGCTTAACCAGGCTTTTAACAACCCAGCCCAGGAGCTCAGCATTTAGGCTTGGCTAAATCTATATATTATTAATATTGTTGAAATGTCAACTGATGAAAAGTTATAGGTACTGACCCTAAGAGTACAGTATAAGTGCTGTAAAGAGCAGGTAATTGTTGCCAGTCATCTTCATTAGAAATTATAATTTTCACAATGGTTTAGTACAGTGTATGCAATTAAAAACATTTTGATCTTGATGATTTTCAATTTCCCTACCCTGACTGGAGGATAAAATTTCAAGCCATGCCCAGAAAACAGGATCTTGGTACCTCTGAGCCCTGGCTTCTTTTCAAAATTTCCACCAAGCACCCCCTTCCTTTTTATTGGGTGCCCCGGGACTAAGTGTACCACATGACGTCTTTGGACAGTCAATTTGATGGCAGAATTCCTGGTAAATTTATGACAACTACACTTAGCAAAGAACTTTGACAATTGTTTTTTTTTTAGTGGGAGGGTAGGTGTCTTTAAGGAAGAAGCTTTGGTTGAAGAACTGACATCTGTCCTTAGAGAATGGGGAGCCATGTGGAAACAAGTCTATTTGGTATGTCTTTTATGTTGTTATGAGGCTCTCATAGGTTAAAACTCCAACATGCCACATGGCATTGAAAAAGGGTGATATGTGGGAGCTGATAATATGACAACAAATCCAAAACTTGCAACATGAGAAAGTTTGAATTCAGATTGAGAACATCCATTTAGCCCCCTAAAAGGACTCTATTACATGTATGCCTCTCAGTTGGACTGAAATTCATGAATTGTTGAATTCTGCCATGTTTTAGTTACTTAAAATTAAATGATGAACTAAAAGTACAACTTGTAGTATGTAGAAAATTCCTTTATTCATAGATCGTAATTTTCTACTGATGAGTAACCAATGATATATATTTTCTTAACTTTGGAATCACATATAACAGGGTTATTTTTCCTAAAAAGAGACCCTTCTAAACAAACTAGCTAGAATTTTATTGCTCAAATCATAATTATTCAGGATGAAAAATGTGCAAACTGTTCTCCCACCGATTGACCATGAATGTATTACCTGAAATATTAATTAGTAAATATTAATTAATATAATTATACCTCCAGGATATGCAGAGAACATGAAAACCCATGCTAGCCATGATGAGCCTAATTGTGTCTTTCGTGAATGTGATAATATCAAGTTTCCTTTTATCGTAATTGCAGAAGAGAGAAGATAGCCTTTTTCATAATGTGAAGGATCTGATGTTGGAACTAATGGACTGGCGAAGGCAAATCTTAGCTAAAGCACTTCCAGGGGTATGTAGCCAATTTCCAGATATCAGTATATCAGCTTCTTAATGGCATTTAAAGTAACGTTACCATAAATCATTGGCTGGAGTACATAACTCAGAAAAATAGTTTTAAAAGATGGTTCTCGTTGATCAATTTTTCTTCGGTCACCATGCTCATCTTAGTACGAAATCTCTTATTACACATGTAAGGTGCGCATTAAATCAGTGATGACGACAATTAAAGAGAAATGTATTGGCTTGCGCAACATATGTGTACAACTTTTAACCTTCATTTAGCCGCCACTCTTGCTGGGCCACACCTGACTAAAGCACAAGACTAGCTGGAGGATTAAAGACTAACACATGTTTTTTTCTGATTTGTGTTGTTTTTTTTCCAATTCTCTTCAGGATCAGTTAAAACAACTGAAGCAGAGAGTTACCCAAACAATAGATTATGGAAACAGGTATGTACATGTACATGTGTGTACTTATTCCAGTACAACTAATAAACAATTAGATTATTTGCTCTTGATTTCTATGAGGTGATAGTTGATGAGGCCAAAGGCAGAATCAGCTATCCCTTCACAGAAATCAAGAACAAATAATCTAATTGTTTTAGTAGAATTCTAACTGAAATAAACCGTTTGAAATATTATTTTTCTATATAATTAAACTTCACGCTTTAACAAAGCCACACAGACTGAATTGTCATTGGAAATTTACAGTTGTTTACACGTGTGCACTTGTTTTTTCAATAATTTCAAGTTTTTAAAGTCACTGTTAGCAACCTTCTTTTAGTCTTCTCAGGAATTTAATTATCCATTTGCATCTAAAAGTTCCTCCAAAATCTCGGGAAAACAAAAAACAGTTGCCATTTTGTAAACAACGACAGCCACTGCACTCTAATGGCTGATAGTGTACGAGTAGCGCAGCCAATCAGATTACAGCATTTGCATTTCTATACCTGGTAGAATTCTACTAACAGTATTTAGCGAAAGGTGAAGAGTTGGTGAAGGTACATGTGTGGTGGGGAGCAGGAATCATGATGCAGTTGTTGTGTTGTGTTAAAGATCCAGTCAGTCACATACAATTCTATTTCAGCAGTTAAGAAATTAAGGTATATCCCTTCTTTTGCAGGACATTAGGTTTGGATCTTGTTGTGCGTGATCCTGAGGGTAACGTCATCAATCCTGATTCAACAGGGGCTATTCAACTTTACAGAAGGGTAAGGCCAGCTAAATATTAATACTGTACCATTGCTATGATCATTGTAATATTTTTTAGTCCCGTTTGTATACTAGGTAATTAAATGATTTTGAGTGCACTTTAAATAAGCACAAAATCAAGTAAAGTTTTCAATCACTTAAAAATGTGAATGAGCCCATAGGGCATGTAGTCTTTGAAAAATTTATGAGTACTTTATTTCAACTTTGCGCACTCAATTTCAACTTTCTGCACTGTTTGGTATTAATTGACATGTTCTTAAGCAAATCAGCATGCTGATAGGTTTGCATGCATATTATAAAGTTAGTTACAAGACGTGACCTTGGTCTAAGAAGCACTCCTTGTTTAACCTTGATCAACAGTTTGCATTTGGAGGCAAACATCAGTTAGACTAGTAGACTTCTGCTACATGTCATGCAGTCATTGGTCAAAATTTAAATGAGGTTAAATATACTTATTTAACTTAGTTAAATATTAAGAATATTTAACTTGGCACCCAACCTCCAGGTGCGACTCAGGCGTGAACATACATTTGTTGCCCTATTGGCATTTCACAACTCTTCGGCTTCCATTTATTGGAAACGTTGTGACAATATTAGCCAGGTCAACACTATGCTATGCTATGCTTCATGGGTTATGTTATTTTCGTGGCATAAACAAATCAACCATAATTATAATTTATTAGCTCTTTACCAATAATGTGCACTGTAATTCTCCTACTTGTAATTGAAGTATTAAAGAGCAATATGGCCGTGTTTAATCCATAACTCTACATTGACTTACAGAACTAACAGTGATGTGGTTTTAATTTTCAGCATGTCAGTACTTCAAACAGAATAAAGACAACGGTAAGACTTGAATAGCTGTATTTGCTTTGATAAATTCATAACTGTAAATTAAACAAGTTCACGAAGAAAAAGGGAAACAGAAATTATTTAATTGTAGATCTCCTTACATGGTTGTCTTGAATCCATAACAATTTCCCCGTGCTATTTTTTTATCCCTTGCATTGTTTTCACTGTAATTAAACCGAATGTTCAATTCGACTGGGAATAGTGTTTGTGCCCATGAACAAGGTTGAATAGCTTATCCAACTAGAGTTTCATGTGTAGCTATAAGGTTATTTATTTATTTATTTATTCCTCCAATTCCTAGCTAATACATAGATATGTAAATATAACGTAAAGAAAGTAAATAGTAACTGATAGTGCTTTGTAAGGAAGAAAAAAAACGCATAAAACAGATATTACATGTACATCACTTAAATTGAATTACATTGTATATTGGAAGGAGAGGAGAGGGGCACATCTAGATAAACTAATTTTGTGCCCGTTAAAGTTATGTATAACTTGAGATTATTAATAAAAAGAAAAAGAAAAAAAAGAAAAAAAAAAAAAGAAGAGGAAAAATGACAAAATAGCTCAGAAAGTTATAAAGAGATAATGTTTTGCTATAAGGTTAATGATTTCATGAGCTTATAAGTATAGAGAAGGGAAGAAAACTGTCATATTTTAAATAAAGACCTTTTGTTGTTCAATTTATTCCATTAAAGTGATATAAGACCTCCATAAGTGAGTGTTTTAACTGTAAATTTGTTGAGGAGAGACCATTTTCTATAGCAGGTGTATGAAAGGGTTAACTTTTCTACCATAGTCAAGTGAATAGTGTTTGTGGAGGCAGCGTGGCCGAGTGGTTTAGGGTGCTGGTGTTGTAATCAGGAGGTCCCGGGTTCAAGGCTTCCACCCTGCCACTATTGGGATTTGTTTCTCGGTAGTCCCGAGTTCAAATCCTCGGTCACGCTTTGTAAATGGCCAGCTGGTCTGCCTCCTGCCAGTTGGGATTTTTAACTACGTTACATTTATTTGAAATATTTGTTTTCTTTGTTTCAGTGGCATGCCTGTAAACTAGCTAAGTTTAGTGCTTGTATAGCTAAGTGCAGGACCACTATATATAAGATTTTCATTTCCATTTTTTTCCATTTTTTACCAAAACTGTTGATATAGTAAATGGTTTGAACCCAGGAGTATCAGTAGTTCGTATAGTGTGATCGTCCGAGTGAGGGTAGTCCTGAAAAGAACTGTTGTTGGTGACTGACGTTTCGACAACCTGAGCAGAAGTCATCTTCATAGTCAAGTGAATAGTGTTTTTCAGTCGATGATGTTATAAGTCTGATCCATTGAACCTGATTGGTCAGTTTAGCCATGATGGTATTGGCTGAAAGACTCATCTAAAGTTTGTTGTCAGTCATTGGTGGGTTTCAATCCATCTATTGTTAGCCAAATTGGTCAGTTTTTGGTCTGTGTATTGTTAAGTCGGTCTGTTAGAAGTCCGCGTGTCAGTTTCGTTTCTGTCATGGAGAAGTCATTTGTAAGGTGCCGGTAGTTGTTGACATCTGTTAAGAGGCGTTTGTTCTAGGTTAGCTTTCCAGAGTCAGTTGTTGAAAATAATTTGTACTGTAGGTTAAGCACTGAGCAGAGTCCTAGTCAATGTTGTGGTTTGTCAGTTGATGATGTACAGCATTGTGATTGTTGGCATCACCATTTCTCATGGCTCGTTTGTGTTCAGTCAGTCTCGTGTTAAGGTTTCTGCCAGTCTCACCAATGTAGGAAGCCTGGCAGTCAGAGCTTTATTTTGATCTTGTAAACTGCTCCCTGTCTGTTGTTAGGTTCATCTCTGTCTTTCACATTTGTCAGTAAGTGTTGTAATGTAGTTGTAGGTTTGTGGGCTACATGAATGTTTTAGGGTTGTAGAATCTGTGAGATGGTCTCAGAAGTGCCCTTAATGTAAGGTATAGTCACTGTAGTAACAGGTGTTGGGTTCCTGTTCGTAGCGTCAGCTTCAGTAGGTCGGTAAATGTGTCGTCTAAAAAAGTCAGCGTTGTAGTTGTTTTTGTGGAAAACACGTTCAAGGTATCTGTTTTCGTCACATAAGCTGTCCAGTGTGTCACCAACTAGTTGCGCTCGTCTCGTCAAAGTCTTTATAGTCGTGGCTTTGTGTGAAGTCGGGTTGTAGGATGATTTGTCAGGTAATCTGTTGGTATGTGTCAGTTTTCTGTACACTGTCGTTCGCAGTTCATTGTTGTCGTGGCTTACCAAACAGTTTAGAAAAGGAAGGACACTATTTACCTGACTCTGAAGATGACTTCCGCTCAGGTTGTCAAAACGTTAGTCACCGACAACAGTTCTTTTCAGAACTACCCTCACCCAGACGATCACACCATACGAAAAACTGTTGAACTTGTATAAATGGTTAAGGGATTGGACCTTGGCTAGTCCCCCTATAAAACTCTGCTCAATGCCTCCCCTTCTATTTCCCCCTACAGGGCTGTCGTTAAGGGCTGTAACCCATAACACCTGTTATGGCTGAGTATGCTTGATTTTCCCTTGATGCTACAGGTGAAATTGTCTGTTTTTGAAAGAATTCACCCACAAAGTAACAAGTTTGCTACAGGTGTGGAGAACAAGGGTACAAGGCGAGGTGACTCAAAACTTAGTGACAGCCCTGCCCTAGGGAGGAGGGTTACTTGAATATCCAGGACCACTTTGTATTAGTGCGCAGGCACTAAATTAATGCTCTGGCACAATGTATGATCATGCCCTTTGCCTCTAAGAATTATGGTATTTGTGATTATTAAGACTGAAGAATATATTAATGAGTGGGTATTGATAGAGATTGGAGAAGTGATTTTTACTTAATACTAATTAAACAATTGTTTCTCATATTGAATAAATGTGATTTTTGTACTTCAAATTTTTAGTCACGAACTGAAACGCCCAAGAAAGAGGTTGCATTTTACACAGCTTACAGTGTTTATGCCTTCATAAAGGCTGTTGTATGCAATGTCACTGATGACTCTCAGCTGTTCCTCTCCCTTTATGATGCAAAAGAGGAGCACTTTATCAGGTATTAACCCCATTCAGCACCAAACTTTCAGTAGTGTCCTGTATCAAGCTGTGTGCACAGTTAGAAATGAGTAGTTCATAAGCTGTGTATAATTATTGTACTTTGAATTTTGAAGACCACAAGTCAGAGAAGTACAACCAGGTGCTCTTCCTCTTCACCAGTGATTAAAATTATGACTTATTAATGCAAAAGCTTTCTAGATGTGTTTGATAGTTATGCATTAAACATGCACAGCTTGCTTTATGAAGCTGGCCCTTAAGTGAATAGTTAGTACCATACGCCCATTATGTTGCTAATAATCTACAGCTATTAACCCGTCTGCATGTGCTGCATTTCTAATTGTATAATGCTATCGGATAGTACCATAAGCTTGCCCATAAATTATGTGCCTAGGGATGCTAGTTGTTACATAACTCTCTGCATGCAGTGCATACCTGTAATGCAATTTCCTTGTACAGTGGGCCTGTAATGCCAGCAAAGGTCTTCAGCTACATAGCCCTCTGTATGCAATGTATACCTATAACACCATGTTATTACCTTGTACCACAAGTCTGTAATGCATGCAAAGGACTACAGCAACATAGAACTCTGCATGTATTGTACCTGTATTAATATTACCTAGTGCCATGGTTTGTCATACGTACAAAGTACTGCTAACAGCTACATAGTCCTTTGCACATATTATATGCCTGTCACATTTTTTCTACACTATACATGTAGGTCTGAAATGCATGCAAAGGACTACAGCTACTCATTGGCCTCTTCATGCATTGTGCAACTATAACACTGTTCCTTAGCACCATAGAGCTGACTGGCATGCAATATGTAAATGAATTTACTCGTAGAATAGAGTTGACCAAATTTTGATATTGTTATTAATAATCATGTTTCTTTCGATTGTCTGGTTAGTGAACAGTACCTGGTTTCTTTGGATAAGGCAGGAACACCAAAAGATCAAGAGAGATTTAACAACCTCACAGTCCTGTTTACAGTAAGGATATTCATATTTTAGTCAGACAGATAAGTGATTGTTATCATTCGATGCATCATCTGGGATCATCTTACTTTTTGATTACTGCATGTATGTATACAAGAAGGAAATGCTTTGATGTAAACCACTGAACAAAATAATAATTATTATTAGTGTTGAACTTTATTTTCTTTTTTTCTTCAGGACTTGGGAGCAAAGGACCTGAAACGAGAACAGGTTTACATGGTCTGCCAGATTGTCAGAGTTGGTCAGTCTTTGCTTTTTATTAATAAAAATAGATGTAATTCACTTTAATTTAATGTATTACATGTATGGTGAAGTTTGATTAATGTTCTATGTTCTCACAATTTTTTGCCCCAAATTTTGAGTAAATGGAAGAACCTTCATAAGCAAAAATCTGATTGATATCCCAATTTCTTATGGATATAAATTAACAATTGAAGGATTTCGTTAAAAAAGGGTGTATATAGCATTTTGGGCCGATTTTTATTTTTTGCAGGGTCGAGCTAATTTTTGGCAGACTGACTTGTTTTGACATGAAAAGCATCGTTGCGTATTTGTTTTTGTTGATTTGTGCTTTGTTTTCAAGAAATAACGTATGGAAAAAACCTCAGTTTTCCAAGGGTATCTTTTGGAGATCTTTTGTTGAATAAAAAACAAAAGAAACCTTTTGTTTTGCTAAACGATGAAGTCACCGAAGCGTGGCATTTGCCGCTAGTTTTATCATTCATATAATTACACTATTCTCTTACTGTTGCTTTGTTAGCGCAACTGAATAAGATGGTGAATGGGCCGGATTCGAATTTGTTTTGTTGTGACATGGGTTCAATATGAGGTCGGTCGATTTTTTTTTTCTGGTCTATTTCTCTACTTCTTTCTAAAATAAAAAAGTAACCATTTTAGTTTGTGTGGCGTCGAAATCCACCTTCGAAGGATTCGCTCCAAAAGATGCCGCTTGGAAAACTGAGTGTTTTTGCCTATGTTATTTCTCGAAAACGAAGTGCAAATCAACAAAAACAATTACGCAATGATACTTTTCATGTCAAAACAAGTCAGTCTGCCAAAAATTAGCTTGATCCTGCTAAAAATAGAAATCGGCCCAAAATGCTACCTACGCTCTTTTTGCACGAAAGCCTTCAATTGTACAAGACAGTATATACATGCACTTATGTGTAGCTAAGATGTATCTTTTAATGACATTGAATAATTTATGTTGGAATCACTACCAAAGCAGTTTTGATGTGTGTAGCTGGTGAAACTTCATATCATGCTATCTACTTCTTTGATTATTTTAGTTGACATTTTCATACTATCTTTGTTGCTTGGATTAGAACAGAAGAAATTGCATTAAGAGACTGAGAGATCTATTTCTTCATTTCAGGGCGTATGGACATCAGGGAGACAGATACCAAAAGGCTCACTCACAATTTGAGAAGACCATTTGGTATTGGATGTAAGTGATAAAAGGCTCACTGAACCCTTTATGGAGAGGGGAATTTCTATTTTATCTGGGATGGGAAGTCTAAACAGAAATTTAAATTAAAAGTTACAAGAGTTCAGAATACTCTATTGTAGCAAGAAAGGCAGTTTTCAATATCTGAACCCACAGTGTATAAGGACTGTTTGTGGGAATTGTTTTGGAAATCGACATTGAAATAGGAAGTGGGGGAGGAATGGAATAAATTTTGTAACTGTGCCACCTCTTTTGACCAGGATGGTGGTTACAATTATTATGAAAACTGTTCTGCTGAAAACTGATACTTAAACAAATGTTTCATTTTAGTGTTGTACATTGGAGACTTGTTCAATGGCACTGCTCAGTACGATGAAGAAAAGGAACATTTCCTGAATCTTCTTCCGTAAGCAATTACTCACTCATAGGCCTACTAATTGTTGTAAAATTTGGATAAACTTAACTGATTAATGATCAATGTATGTATTTCAGAATTGTCCAAAATACGAGGTTACTCCTGATATACAGCACCCCTTGCACACACTTTTGTAGCGAACAGTTCTATAGTTTCAACCATCCTGACAAAACCCTGTTTACATTAAGAAATTGGATTAATTCAACTTAGATGTGAATGTCGATAGATTATTACAGTGTGCGTCCATTAAGAAGAATAGAACTCTGTATAGGTTTGTACCAGAATGCTCTGTTTGTGATCTCTTTGACATATGTTGCAATCCACGAACTTCTTGTACATGTACACCTCCAACTTCTTCTCATCAAGGGCAGGTGCTTACTTGATTTTATTACATTGTAAGTGATCAGTTCCAATTGTATGTACCACCATGTTTCCTAAATTCGAAAGGTTGTCACTTAAAAAAGCTCCAACAGTATAAATTCCCAGTCGAAGTAACGTACAATTCTTGGTAAAATAAAATCTGTACTTAACTGTGAACATCCAAAATTCAACGAGACAATAATTTACACGTGTGTTTGGAACAATACTTTACAGACTTCCTGATAACCAGTCATTTTCATTCAACTCTTGGATAAGGCGGATGATTTCTCAGCCACAGGAAGGGCTGAAGGGACAAGGTACTAGGTGCAATTTTGTGAGGAATTAATTGTATAATTGAAGGGGTGAGTGCAAAACCATGCTAAGTGACGATTTGGGTGAAAAAAAAAATTTTCGCGAAAGGGCTTGAATTTTTGCATGCGGTCTTCAA